CTTTAATTTGCTGTATAGATATTTATTATTGTTATGCCCTCTTGTTCTTTGACCCTTTAAGCATTATATAGTGACTTTCCTTTTCCTTTGTGAGGGTTTTTGCTTTGAAATTTATTTTAATGGAGATTAATATCACTACTTCTGCTTTTTTCTGGTTGCCATTTGCTGAGTATGATTTTTCCCATCCTTTTATTTTTAGTCTTTCTTTATCTTCATTTTTCAGGTGTGTCGCTTTTAGACAGCATATTGATGAATTTGGGGTTTTTATCCAATCTACTACTCTTCTTCTCTTCAGTGATGCATTCAAACCATTCACATTCAGTGTGATTATTGAAAGGCAGAGTTTTATTGCTATCATTTTGGTGAGTTATTTTTGGGTTTTTTGCTAGTTACTTTAGTCCATGTTGCTTTCTGTGATACCTCTGTAAGAAGGACATCTCTCAGTGTTTCCTGCAATGCCGGTCTTGTTTTTACAAACTCTCTTAGGTTCTGTTTTTCTGGGAATATCTTGATCTCTCATTCATATTTGATGGATAATTTTGCTGAGTACAGTGTTCTTGGTTGACAGTTGTGTTCTTTGAGTGTTTGATACATGTCCTTCCACTCTCTTCTTGCTTGCGTGGTTTCTTTTGAGAAATCGGCACTTAATCTTATCTTCTCTCCCTTATAGGTTACTCTTTGATAATCGCTTACTGCATTCTCTCCTTATCTTTGGTTCTGGTAAATTTAACTATGATATGTCTTGGTGTTTTACTTGTGGGGTCTATTCTATATGGTGTTTGCTGAACTTCCTGACTATATATTCTCTCATTCTTTATTATGCCTGGGAAGTTTTCCTCTGCTAATTCTTCCACAACCTTTTCAGTACCTTTACTTGCTTCTTCCTGTTCTGGGATTCCAATGATGTGCATGTTATTTCTCTTGATGGTGGCACACATTATTCTTAGGTTTTCTTCTTTTTCCTTTCTTTCTGAGTCTGTTTTTTGTTCTAGCAGATCAGTGGTGACAATTCTATCTTCTATTTCACTGGTTCTGTGTTCCATCTCTTCAACTCTGCTCATGTGTCCTCCTATCGTGTTGACAGCATCTGAAACATTGGACCCCATATTTTGGATCGTGATTTCTTGTTTCTTGTTTTTCCAGCTTTGCTACTTCCTCATTTGTTTTATCTACATTGTTCTTAATTGTTTTTGTTTAGGTGTTGGGGTTTTTTGAGCTCCTCTTGTTTTTTGCTTGTAGTGTCCTGTAATTCTTCAACTTTGTCTTTCATCCATTGAAAATACTTAATCATTGTTCTTTTAAATTCTGTGTCAGAAAGTTCCATCATTCTTTCTGGCTTAAGAAGATCATTGATACTGTGTCACCCTTTAGGGAGTGACATCTTGCTTTGCACTTGTGTAGTGTGTGAGATAACTTGCTTTCTTTGAGACATTGATATGTTCTTGATCTGAAGACAATGCACTAGAAATCAGTTGGGCAGCTACTCCCCTTGGGTTTTTCTCTGAACTTCTGACTTAAGGGAAAAGTCAGTTCAGAGCCTGTGAGGGCAGCCTTTTGTAGGTAAGTCAGATCATGATGTTCCGTATTAAAGGCAAGTTGATTGACTGGACACGTAGTCAGAGATCTGGAGCCAAATAGTGTGGGGAAGGCATGGGGGTGGCCAACCACAAGGTGGGTCAACTACTTGGGGAACCTCATCAGACCTCAGCTGTTCAGGTGTGCTCATGATTGGGGTCCCTACTCAAAATCCAGTGGTTTTCTCTCAGCTTTCCCTGCCCAGAGGCACTTACCTAGGTGCCCTCGTGCAGCGGCCCCTGCCTAAGCAGAGTCCTGGGTCCAGCGGCACCCGAGAAGACTCGGTCAAATTCCCCCTGACCCACTCACCTCTGGCCCATCTTGGTTGTGCACAAAAGTTCAGTCTAATTGCCAGTGACCTGCTTGTTCCTGGGCAGTCTGCATGGCCCAAGAGAGCTCAGCCAAATTCCCACCAGTTGGCTCGCCCTTAGATGCTCTCCCAGGCAATCAGCACTGGCCAAGAAAACCCAATTAGGATCCTATCTGCCTGCAGACCCACTGGGTCTTAGTAGTGCTTAACAGAACTCAGCCAGTATCCACCAACTTTTCTCCTGCCAGATGGTTCCCACAGCAGCTCACCCATTGGCTTTCTGCTATGGCCAAGTCTGTGGCACAGCTTTGTGTTCCTGTAGCTCCAAAACGAATTGTTCCAACAAAAGTTCTGATTCAAAACCCTACTGCCCAAGTCTCTCTGTGTTGGTTGTTTTCTGTGTGGCATAAAAGACTCTAGTGGTCCTGCAGTTCCCCCGGGGGCATGGGGCTGGGGCGCCACCACCGGGGGCAGTGACACGGGACTGGCAGTCTGTTCACATATGTTAAACTGCCAAGTCACCCATCCTCTGCACATCAGACTGCCTGAGTCATTCTGCGACCGCGTTGCTACGGTGCCACTTAAATTTTTTTTATACTAGTTTATTTATAAAATTCAAATACATTGTTTTCAGGAACAGATTCTTCCATTTTCCTTCACCCTCCCCACCCATCAAATTGTACAACTCCATTATTAATTCCTCCTCAGCCCCTGCACATCCTCATCCCTCTGCTTCCACCCTCCCTCACCTCCTTTGGATCCTTATACTCATTCTAAAATAATTGTTTCATACAATGTTTGACCTTGTGGGACTGAGTTAGTTCATCCAGCATATTGCTTTCCAGTTCCTCCCAAGTTAGGTAACAATTTACAACATCATTGCTTCTGCATGCTGTGTAGCATTCCATTGTGTGAATGTACCATAATTTCTCAATCCGTTAGTTTGTAGTTGGACATTTGGGTTGTTTTGATGTTTTTACAATGGTGAATAATACTGCTATGAACACTGGTGTACAAATCTCCATTTGTGCCTCAGTTCTCATTTTCTCAGGTTATATTCCAAGTAGTGGAATAGCTAGGTCATATGGTATTTCTACATTCAGCTTTTTTGAGGAAGCACCGAGCTGCCTTCCAGAATGGTTGTACCATTTTACAATCGCACCAACAATGTATAAGAGTTCCTTTCTCACCACATCATCTCCAACATTTATTACTTGCTGTCCTATTAAACTTTGCCACTGTTATTGGAGTGAGATTGTACCTTATTGTGGTTTTGATTTGCATATTTCTTATTGCTAGCGATTTGGAGCATTTCTTCATGTGTCTGTTTTGCATTCTAATATCTAAATTATTTAATTCTAGGGAACATATGTATTTAAGATCCTCAAAAAAGAACTTAAGGGCACAATTGCCACTGGACAGAGTTGCTATTTGCTGCTTCTTTGTCCAAAAACAGGAAGAGGCATCAGAAAATCAGAAGTTGGCATAGAAATTGTGTTTATCTCACCCAGTAGATAACTAGTAATTGGTTAGAATATGACTCTCAGAAGAAACAGTGATACACTCCTTAAGAAAGTTTTCTGGCAACTTGACTACTCTGAAAGCATTTGTTCCTGGCCATTCACGGCCTTCAAAGGTTCACTTGAAGATCAAAAGCCTGGTTATATGTTGTTGTGTACCGTCGAGCTGGAACCGACCCCTAGCTTACTCTCCAGCAGATTTTCAGAAGCAGTACAGGAGGAAATTGTTCATTATTTTCATGTGGACCAGCTTGTGGATTTGAACAATGTTCTATTGGCATTACAACACAGCTTCTTACCACTCGGCCACCAGAGCTGATAAAATGGCACACTGGGCAAATCCTCTTTGAAGTGGAAAGGGAGGAAAAAGACAAAACTTGAAGTAATGTTGAGTAAAAAAAGAGCTAGGTTTGGGAGGGTGAAAGTGCCCTGGCATTGTTGGGATTAGAACTGAAACACATATAACTGGGTGGGAAAATAAGGCAGGGAGAAAGTAGGAGACTCTCTCCTCATCAATATTTGGCCATAGAAAATCCATGTTAACATACTTTGGGCATGTTGTTAGGAGATGCCAGTTCTTGGAAAAGGACATCATGCTTGGAAAGGTGGAGGGAAGAGAGGAAAATCGTCAATAAGATGGATTGAAACAATGACTGAAACAATGGGCTTAAATTTATCAGAGATGTTGAGAACAGCACAGGATAGGGCAAAACTGAGATCTACTGTTCATAGGGTCACTATAAATCATTGTTGACTCAATGGCACATAACAACAACCAGTTCTCATAAGACAACCATTTTCAAAACCCTCTCTTTATCCAATTCCCTTTATTACAATCAAAACCTTAGTCTCTAACAGAAACCTAAAACATATATACCTACATATATTTTCCATATTGCCACAGAGAGTATTACATTTGAGAAGATTTGCTAATAACACATAACTTAATGTTTTTACCACACAAATCATATTGTTGTTGTTGTTTTATCGAAACTTAGTCTTGTTAGTTGCCTTCTGAGTTGCTTCTGACTCATGTTGATTCCATGTTTACAGGGTAGAACTACTTCATAGGGTTGTCAAGGCTGTGACCTTTCAGAGGCAGATTTTATGTGAGGCTTCTGGTTAGGTTGAAACCAACAATCTTTAGGCTACTAGTCAATTGTGTAACTGCTTATGCAAAGTCTAATAACTAATTAACATTTCATTCTTCTAAGTGGGATCTCTGATGGCTTAGTGGTAAGGAACTGCACTGTTAAACCAAAGGCATGTATGTAGTTCAAGTCTACCAGCTGCTCCTCAGGAGAAAGGTGGATAATCTGATCTTATTCAATTTACTATCTCTGAAAACCTACTTGAGGGTTGCCTAAGAGTTGATTCTGACTCTATGGCACACAACAAGAAGTGATTCTTCAATTCTTTCTCATCTGACCATCATGTAAAGAGCTCTTTTTGTGTGTGTTTTCTTGTTGAATAGCCTAAACTTGACACCTATCCAGGTTTTTGTTGGACCAGTGGTCATCCATGTGAACTAAGTGTAAATTTTATTATACCTTCAAAGCCAACTAATTCAGCTCAGTACATGGTCTTTATTTCAGGCTTCTAAAAGAGCATCTTGGAGAAAAAGAAGTTGAGTTAGCTCTTATCTTTGACTCAGTGGTGGAAGCTGATCTGGCAAACTATACTTGCCATGTGGAAAACCGAAATGGACGAAAACATGCCAGCGTTCTACTGCGTAAAAAAGGTATTTATTTTTCCACTATAGCTGTTGAGTTATCAAGTAGATGTTAAAGTAAAGATATACATGTTCCCTGGACTTATTTTATTGTTTAGTATAAACTTCTATTAACATATTAGTCTTCTTGAGAAGAAACGCCACTCTTCATATGAATATTAGTGTAAAATGCCTATGTACTTTAATGTCATTAAGAAGAGATAAATGAAATGCAGTATTGTCAGATCATAAATCAAGTGAGATAAAATGTACCCTGATAATAAATGTTCCATAATGGTTGATAAACAAATACTGTTATGTACTTGTTATATGTTGTCAATTTGGAACCAGCTCAGAGTTGACACTCTGTGTTTTCAGAGACATTGCACAAGTAAAGATAGTCCATTTTTTTCTGGAAGGAACAGTTTGTGGCTTCAAATCATCTGCCTTTGTTAAACATTAACATATAATATTTCTCTCTGTATTTTACTTTATATATTATATACTACTTAAGTGAAATGCTAAGGATTTTATTACTGAATAGAAGCAAAATAATTTTTTATCCTCTAGACTGTGTGAATCATAACAAACTGTGGCTGACTCTGAGAAGAATTGGAATCTCAGAACATTTAATTGTGCTAATGCGAAACCTACACTCGGACCAAGAGGCAGTAGTCAGAACAGAGCAGGGTAACACTGCATGGTTCAAAATTGGGAAGGGTGTACGCCAGAGATGCATCCAGTCTCCATACCTTTTCAACATGTATGCAGAGCAGATTATCTGAGAGGCTAGGCTCTATGAGGAGAATTGTGGCATCAGGATTGGTGGAAGATCTATTAACAATCTGCGTTATGCAGATGACACAGCCCTGCTTGCTGAAACTGAGGAGGACCTCATGCACTTGCTGCGGAGGGTCAAAGACTGCATCCTTCAGTATGGACTGAGGCTCAATGTCAAGAAGACAAAGATTCTAACCACTGGACCAATCGGTAGCATCAGGATGGATGGCGAAGAGATTGAGATTGTTCACATCTTCAGTTTGCTCGGCTCCACAGTCAACACTCTTGGCACCAGCAGTCAGGAAATCAAAAAGCGTATCGTGATGGGAAAGTCAGCTGTTAGGGACCTCTCTAAAGTACTCAAGAGCAACGGTGTCTCTCTGGAGACTAAGGTGCACCTGATACAGTCCATGGTCTTTGCAATCGTTTGTTATGCATCAGAGAGTTGGACAATGACTAGGGAGGACAGAAGGAGAGTTGATACATTTGAGCTGTGGTGCTGGAGAAGTGTATTTAATGTACCATGGACTGCCAGGAAAACAAACAGATTCATCCTGGAGAGGATTAAACCAAGCAACTCCTTGGAGGCAAGGATTCTGGGGCTTCGTTTGACATACTTTGGACATGTTGCCAGGAGGGATGGGTCCTTGGAGAGGGACATCATGCTTGGGAGGCTGGAGGGACGGCGCAGGAGGGGAAGACCCTCTATGAGATGGATTGATTCAGAGACTGGGATTATCGGGATGGGTGTGTCGGAGGCAGTGCGGTTGGCGCAGGATAGAGCAGGGTTTAGGGCTATTGTGCATAGGGTCGCTATGAGTCGCAAACGACTCGATGGCACATAACAACAAGTAAAAAAATATAAATAATGAGTAGTACTAATGAATAGTACTATTTAATATTCTTACCAGTATTACTATAACACTTGTGTTGTTATTATAACTGTGTTGTTAATATTATAAGTACTATTTTATTATAAGATCTCATATTAAGAGGAATTTTAATGGTTATATTATTTTCTATATCATTTTCTATTTCTTGAGATTAATCTCTATGTTCTTAGATGGAACAGAAATTATGTATTAATGTGAAAACAACAATTCTATATTTACAGGTAAAGAAGATAATGTTCATATAGGAACACCAATCTCAGCAGCTAGAGTAATTTCAGAGATTGGTTTTCATTGCATCTTGTCACCTGATTATTGCAGAAGACTAGCTACTGTCTGAAAGTATGCATCTGGAAAATGTTATATAACTTAGCAAAAGAAATGTCCTGTTGTCTGGGTTATAAAGAAGACAACAAAGTCATTAGTTGTCAGAGGTGTACCTAAGGTATGGCAGGTATGACTTGTGCCCTGGATGCCACTTGAGAGAGCACCATTGAATAGTTTCTATCAACCTGATGTTGCTCAACATCCTCAAGCACAGAGGACACAGAGGTGTATTGAGAATAAAAAAGAGGTGGGCAATGTATACAAATGCCATAAGCAAACCAATTTTTTTTTTTTTAAAAAGTGGGGCACTTATTCCCCAAGCACACATCCATGGGGTCTGAAGTGATACACCATTCTGAGGCATCATAAACATGAACGGCACCTGACTAAGGCAGCTGGACAAGAGGTGAGAAAAGCAATTTTGTTGACTTTTCACCAACCTCATCATAAGAGCCCTGTTCATCTTAAAATGAAGGAAGACATGATTTAGAGCTTGGCACTGGGTGTTCATTACCCTTGCTATTCTCCTGCAGGAGGACAATTTCAGTACTTGTCATAGATGTTATTTTCCATACATGTGCCTCTGTTAGTTGTTCTTTCTGGCAAGGATGTAATTTTTATTTTCCAGCCAGCCCTAGGGAGCTCTGGTGACCTAGTGACAAGAAGCTGCACTGCAATCCCAAAGAAATGTGGTCCAAATCCACCAGCTGCTCCATGGGTGAAAGATGAGCAATCTCCTCCTGAGCGATTAACTACCTCTGAAAACCCACAGTTCCAACTCTACAGTACTCAACAACAACAATGCTTGACCTTATAAAGTAGCTCTAGAAGAAGTAGGGAAATGTCATTATTTTGAAGATAATGCTTTTTATCTTTCTGGTGCAGTTTCTTATGCTATTGTACATAATCCTATTTTAAAATAATGAGTTTACATTTAAGGGCATCTTGTGCTACCAATGCAAACATATGTGGTTTGAATCCACCAGATGCTTTGAGAAAGAAATATGAGTAATCTCTTCTCATACTATTGATGACTGCCTCTGAAAACTCACTTGAGGGTCAGCTGTGGGCCAGTTCTGACTCAATGCTACACAACAACACTATGGAAAGTATGAATCTCTGTCATAGTTCATGAGGAGTTGCATTTACTAACCCAAAGGCACAAATGCCTCTCTAGGTGTTCTAATCCATCAGCACTCCAAGGGAGGAGGATGCACAGTCTCCTCCAAGAGATTTACAACCTTTGAAAACCCATTGGAGGGTCAGTTCAACTGAGATGAGATGAGATGGAGATGAGATGAGATGATGAGTTTTTTGTCAGTAAGTACAGCTAACATCTTAAGATGAGGTCCATCCTATACTTTTCTTTGGTGGACTAATAATTTGAATTTATGCTAAGGAATATTTTTTACAGAGAAGATTTTAAGTAGATATTTTCATAATTATTTCTCCTTTCAGAATACACTCCCTCTTCCACAAAGCATAGCTCTATGAATTAATTTCTTCATTCTATCAAGTATCTATAGGAAGCTGTAAAATGGGGTCTCCTCACCTGCCTCCCAATTTATGTCAGGGAAACAAGCTCATTATCACAGTAGAATTGCAGCATGTCTTACCTTCAGTTCCATGGTTTCTCCTGCTATTTTGGTCCATTCTTCATTAGCTAATCTCTGTGTTTACAGTGTAGAAACAGTTGGGTCAAACAAAGAAAGTTTAAAAAATCCCATGCTTGTACTTTAGGCGCTGAGAAAAAGGCAAAACCCCATAAATATTTGTTGTTGTGGCTATAATGTTCTTTATGAAGCATATATAGGACTCAGTCCAGATAAAATTATTTTCAGCTTCTCAGTCAGGAAGAATCCCTAGAAGTATAGTTCCTACTGTGATGGAAAATGGCAGTTGAAAACAGAAGTCAGGAGGAAATCCAGGTATCATTTGGGAAATAGCAATTCTGCACTCTAAGTAGAGATACACATTTCCTTTTTGATATGATTGCCTGGGCTGAGTCAAAGAATACTTGAGTCACAGAGCCTAGGATGAAAGTTTTTAACGTAATCAGCCATCACCAGGTAATATCTTTCAAAGATATTTTTGCAAAACCAACTCCCAAACTTTTACAGCTCTCTTACATAAATTCACTACTTTAAAAAAGTATCTTATACTTGGGAGCACAAATTGTTCCTGCTGCTGAAGTTTTTTTTTTTTTTTGCACCTACCAAATAGTAACTCTACTCTGTAAATAAAATATTTATTGCAAAGAAGGAAAAAAATCCCACTTGATGACTTTGAAAACAGTTGAAAGCTGTTCTGACCAGAAAGAGAGAGACAAAAAAAGTTTACAGCATAAAATGAACATCTTAAAACAGTGGGGGAAGAACCCCTAAGAAACAACATATTTAATCAAGTCAGTCATTTCCCTAAGATGAAAGGGAAGTAAGACTTCAGAGAAAGAAAAAAATGTATTCCTCAGCCAATTCACCATTGGCTACTTTGGGCATGTTACCAGGAGGGACCAGTCCTTGAAGAAGGACATCATGCTTGGAAGGGTAGAGGGACAGTGCAGGAGAGGAAGACCCCAGATGAGATGGATTGACACATTGACTGTGGCAATGAGGGCAAGTATATCAGAGATAGTTGAGATTAGCTCAAGATAGGGCAGAATTCAAAGCTATTGTTCATAGAGTTGCTATTAGTCATAGTCGACTCAATGGTACATAATAACAATGTGATTGCTATTGTTATGTACTGTCGAGTCGCCTGCGACTCATAGCGACCCTATTTACCAACCCTAAACCTTGCCCTATTTCTTGCCAATCTTATTGTCTCCAACATGCCTGTCCCCATTATCCCAGTAACTGAATCAATCAATATAATAGAGGGTCTTCCTCTCCTGTGCTGTCCCTCCATCCTCCCAAGCATGACATCCCTCTCCAAGGAACTGGTCTGACCTTGCAGCACGTCCAAAGTATGTCAGACAGAGCTTCAGAATTTTTGCCTCCAAAGAGCAACCTCACTTGACCTTCTCCAGGATGA